AATTGGTGGAGACAACATTTCGAGTTATCATTACGTAATTCTGTCTTTTCTTCTATTGTCGACAGACACACTTCATCCACCACTTCCATTCTCCATCGAAATTCATTTGATTCCTATCACCGCATCTGGCGGAACAAATAATTGAGACCAATAGTATTTTTTAAATATTTTTGTTCCTTTTTTTATTAAATAAAAAAAATGGTTAAATTTAAGATCCATACTTTAATTTAATATCACAGTAATCTAGATCATGATTATTGCTGATACCAAAACTTAGCAGAATTATTACCCTAAACCAAACTTTCAAAATTTTGAAAGTCTTGTCTTGGATGCTAAATTATTTAGACATGAGGAACCAATTGAAGCACTAAATAAAAGTCAAACAAGACATGAGGAACAAGTAGGAATATTAGGGTTTTCACAAGGTACTTGGCTCGCTAATAGATATTATTATTATTATTATTTATGGGTATGATATAGATTGATTTAGGGGTTTCCTTGGCCAAACCTCCCTCTCATTGTATTAACTCTCAAATTGGCAACTTATCCTAGACAACCGTCACAAGAATCCCCTAATTTGATGAAATCCAATTTCTTGACTAAATCCCTTTTTTAAATTATTATGATGTATCTTAACCAAAATATTTGTACCAATATATACACACACAGACTAATATTCTATATGCATGCCTAATTTATTAACAAGTAATTATGTTATTTTGTCAAATACTTCAATTGTTTTGATTACTCACAAATTGTGTGGAGACAAATAAATAATAACTGCATAAGAATTTAATTTTTTATAAATAAACAGACAGTCAAATTTTTAGACACTAAAGTATTCTTATTTATATTATAATAGAATCAAAGTATGAACTGAGTTATTATTATTCTTTTGCCACTAGAAACATTTGTTAAGAAATCTCATTTTCAAATTAACATTTTTTACAAGGAGTTAGGCTACAAAGAAACGTACAACTTTCCAAAGCAAATGTTGAAGGTGATGGCTAGAGGGCAATCCTCGAGTTTTCTAGAAAAATGAATTTGAAGGGCAGGCAAACTGATAGAGGATGGCAGGACAGTGGAGAGGCTGCCAGGTGTTTTTGATCAATTCGTAAGTCCAATGACTCATTTAATTACTGGATTACGAAACGTGGAAAGCGAGTGTCCAATCCCCCACTTTTTTTTTTTTTTATTTTCTGTTTTAAAAAGTAAATGAAGGTTAAGAGAGTACGTACATGTCATGAGGTTTTCAAGTAGTAACAAACAAATTAGGTATGATATTGGAGAGAGAAACAATCTAGGATTACCATAATGTTCTCTCTTTTACCTAAAAAATGCTAGTGGGACTTAGTGGGGGAATTACAATTATGGGTCGACTCTACAATGCAATCTCTTTGTGGCCACCTTATCAATTTGCATAAGAAATTAATTATTATTAAGTAGGATGTCCCAACCACCATGTTTCCTTCCAATAATGTTTACTTGTGGAAATTTCTTGTTCCCACTTTCCACTCACTGATTTGACATTTTAAGTTTGTTTAAAATTTTGAGTCAATATTTAGTTTTCTAAAAAACAAATCACAAAGCTTATCCAAGTTAATTAATTTGTAACTTACCAATCAAAATCTTAATAGTTCTGCCTTTTGACTAGCACTACTCCTATAATTTTCTTTTGATGGAAATTTAGCAGAAATTTAAGAAATTAAAAGATCACCTATATAGATTAAAATTATTTATTATAACAAGAAAGTTTTTCCTCTATTTCAAATTAAATATTCACTTTCAGTCTATTAGGTCAAGCAAAATTAACTTTGATCATTATTTATTATTGATTTAAAGGTAATTAAAATTTCAAAAAAATAAATCAAAAAAACTAAACTTAAAATTTTCAAAATTCTATTTTTTCAAATTTTAATTTCACATAATATTACAAAAAATTATAGTCAAAATTAACTAATATTGACTAAAAAAATAAAAAATTGAACATTCAATTTGAAATAGACAGAGGATATATATATATATATATATATATATATATATATTTGTATGTGTGTACATATATTATAATTATTTTTATATTAAATTTTAAATTAAAAGTTGCCACCCCATTCTTATCCCTTGCATGAAGCTTGGGTGCCAGGACACGTTACAAGTATACTGAAACTTAGGTAATGGAAGTGGTCACCCAGTTATAGATTAATATTTCTTCATTGTACTTAACAAAAACCTTCAAATTTTTGGATACATATGATAAACAATTCCTAAAATGGCTCGCCACCCCTTAATTTTTGATGGATGTATTCCCCACTTTGGTAAATAGATTGTATAGATGTATCCTATGGTTCAGAATCACTACTTAGGTTTATAAAAACGAGAGGTAAATTAATCTTAATCATATTTGTGTAATCTTTAAAGATTATATATATATATATATCTATATAAATATAAATATATATATATATATAAAATATTTAGACAGAGGTAACGTAGGACAGGATAATTAATTTCATAAATCTCAATCGTTAAACTTGAATGTATTAATACAAAACCACATGATCCATGATACAATATCTCACAAATTAAGAATATTGTTAATTTGGGTATGAATCTAAAAGGAAATTGAAATGCCTTTGTTCCTTTATTTTCATATTCTCACTCAATGTAAGCATAAACTTCAACTCAACTTAATCAAAATAAAAACATAATTAGATACATGTCTTTCTATCCCGCTTTATTAACGTTTAAAGTCAAACAAAGTTGGTTTTTTTTTTTTCATAAAAATAAAAATAAGGATATTATATATAGGTGGTTTAATTTTAAATTCTTTAATTTTTTTGGTGAATTAATATATTAAAAATTTAGCTCAGTAACCTTAATCATTTTACAATTTTAATTTCTTTAATATGAACATTTCATTTTTTGCACATAAAAAAGATGAAATTTTATTTTATTTTTGGTAAATTAAAATATAAAAAACTTAGCTGAGTAACCTTAATCATTTTCCGTATTATAAACAGCATGCGTAGATGTTTCACTATGTATAAAAATTTGAAGCGGAAAGTATTTAAAGGATAGAACTAAATATTGCATGTTATTATTGACTTTCAGTTTTCAATTCCGTTAGCAATTGTTGTCAGTTGTTATTATCCAATATAATAATTTATATAATACTATATTATATTGTATATCTCCATGTAGGAATAGGATTTATAACTGCTGTTGTTCGGTCAGTCAGTCGCACTATATTAAAGTGTTTTTTCTCTTAATATCACTTTGATCTTATAATGATATAATTTAATATTTTTATTAAAAAATAGATATGTTACATTTGAATATTTGATTCAGTAGTTTATGCATGATTTTTCTACTTAAGAGTAAATTTCGAATTTTTCTTCTCTCAATTCTAAAAAAAAAAACAAATAGATTAATGTCAAATAACAAAAAATAGAAATAACAATAATAAAAAAACATAATATGGTATGTTGACATGAAAAAATAAAAATAAAAATAATTAAAATACATGATATGATATGTTGACATATGATATACTATATGACATGATAATTTGATCTTTTGTCATTTTTTAAACCATGTGATGTGTTATTTTGACTAATTATAATTAATTAACTATTATTTATAAAGATCTATTTAATTTAAAATAAAAATATAAAAACTTGATTGAATGCAATAGCATAATAAGTATTTAGTTAAATTTTATTAAATAATTCAGAAGTTTTTTAAAGTATTATGCTAATTAATTATTATCAAAGTTAAAGAGGACACTTAATACTAAAAATTTTTAAAATATTGTATCTAATTTTGAAATAAGAAAATATTTATGAAAAGTTTACCTAGACCCAACAATTAATATTTTCGTATTTTAATCATATCGTGTAAACATAGAGTATTAACAATTATATGAATAAATACAAACACGATACGATTAATTAATCGTCTTAAGATTTTAAATATGTACAATAAATATGAGACATGACATGACTTCATTAAATATTTTAAGTTAAATTTTATATGATATGACATGATTAATACGATTAAAATTTTGATGATTTATATCGTGTTTATGTGATTAACATAGGATTGATATGATTAACATGTTTAGAACAATTAAATTCAAATTTATAACAAAAACTTATAAATATCATAATATTTATTAAATATAATAAAATTCAATATCAGTAAATTTTAAGTAATTGTGTACTAAACGTATCTATATGACACATGAACATGATTAAATAAGTAAATAATAAATAGATTTTGAGTTATACAAAGTTTTGGTAGCATGATTAATTAATTAAATGTGTTAGATATGTATTAAATGGGTTAAACGAGTTTGACATGATTAAAATATAAAATATAATTAATTTTAAATATAAATTTGTTTAAATTTATGACTTTTCGTGCGATGATGCCGTGTCGTATATAAAATTTTCAAGTCTAATTAGTTATTTCCAATTATGAAAAGAAGACATCACGTGTGAATTTATTAAATTTAAAAAATTCATATAATTGGTCAAATAAAAGTGTAACAGAGCAAGGAAAAAGATGTGGTTTGAATTCTATGCTCTATGTACAAATATTATCCACAGAAAACAAGTGTCAGATTACGAGTGACGGGGCATATTTCTGATAATAAAGGTTCTGTGGGAGGGTATCTTTTGCCCCTTTGGTAAGAAGAAGACGTGCATATCCTTTGTCTTTGGAAACATCACGATAAAAAGTGGTAGCCATTTGCCAGAAGAGCTTAAACTCGAGAGACTACTGGTTCTCGCAATTTGATATATATATGGTGCGGATTGCCCAACGCACAGAATTTAACAATCTTTGACTTATCTTAACCAACCCTCTCAGCCTACCTCTCTCCCCTCTCTCACCCTCTGCCTAGTGCCTACACTCCTCAAAAATACTGGTACAAAAAAGCAAACTCAGAAACAAGAACAATAACTGAACCAAGGACATAATTGGACCGCTCTTTTTTCATGGCTGGTGTTCTTTTTTGGGTGATATGTCCCAAAGAGAATGCCACCGCTTTACTTAGTTTGATACCAAGGAGTGTTAAACAGAAGAGGTCAAGGTTGTGTCCGACACTCAAGTTCTCAACAGGGGTCTCAGCCTTTTCAAGTGCAGTAGCAAACCCTGCAAGATCTTCAGAGGAGAAGGTTTATGAGGTGGTTTTAAAGCAGGCTGCGTTGGTTAAAGAACAGAGACAAAAGAAAAATTTGGATTTGAAACGAGCAGCTGAAACTGATGGTATGACAGATTGGGATCTCTTGAAAGAAGCTTATGATAGGTGTGGTGAAGTCTGTGCCGAGTATGCTAAGACTTTCTACTTGGGTACCTGCTCTTTAGCCTCTCTCTTTCTTCTTCTGCTTTACTTTTTGCAGTAAAAATTTTGAGATGATGAGGTAACTTTACTTATATCAGTTGTGGACAATCCATTTCAAAAGTATTAGCTGTGTGTTTTATTAACATATAAAATTTTAGATCTTGCTTTTGCTAATTTTTATTATACTTTTTAAAAGTTCACACATGGGGTCAATTTGACCCTTGTTATATTTAATTACTGATTCCCATGTTGTTCTTACATTTTGGTTTGTCCTTGGGATTAGGCTGTTTGGTTGCCGAGAAATGCGAGAGAATCTGAGAATATCCAAAGCAAATTCTATATTTACCATTCTCGTCTGAATAATTGCAAGAATTCTTTCTTTTTACCCTATTACTTTACTTTCCTATCCTAAATAATACTTGGAAAGAATTTTATAGGTGGCTTTTTCATCATTGTAAGATCTGTTAGAACATTACAGTCGAGAAAACTCTGATTTTAATATGTATAAAAAAAGTTGGGGAGCATTACTGTGATAATTCCTACTTAAAATTCAACTTGTTCCATCTATCTGTTTGTTGAAGGCTCCTCTCGAGCTGACCAATTAATGGGCTGTATTTTAGTATTAGTAGTACTTTATATGGTCAAAATTTAACAATTCTCTAAATTATCACTCTTCGTAAAACAAGAACATGAAATTTCATATTCACAACCATTGGTTGTTCTTTGCAGGTACATTACTTATGACACCAGAGCGTCGGAGAGCTGTCTGGGCGATTTACGGTCTGTATGTTTGCTTCATCAAGTCTTTACAAAATGATTCCTCTCTGTCGTGTTTGTGGTTCATAAAATTATTGGACCTTCCCTGGTTTTTGTGGCAAATGATACTGCATTGATTTTCTGTGTTTTTTGGATGCATCTGTTGGCCAATAGCATGTCTCACTGTTAAGGGATAATTGTTGGTACCTATAATTTTAATTCTGGTCCTCTGTAACAAAAATAGATGTTTCAAATACTTTTGAACTATTGTTTCAAATACATTGCTTCCGTGTCTTTGAAGGTTAATAATAAAACTGCAGCCAAGGACCAATTCATTTCAATATGAAATGGAAAGTACCCTAGCTGTATTTATTCATGTTGGATGATATCATGTGATGATTAAGTAGTAAAAAGAATCGTAATAACAAACATTGATGAATATTTAATTGCTTCAGACTTCCTTGCTGGATGTTTCACCGTTGTAACTAATGTAGCCTCTGTTTTACAGTGTGGTGTAGAAGGACTGATGAGCTTGTGGATGGACCTAATGCTTCACACATCACACCCAGGGCTCTTGACAGATGGGAGAGAAGATTAGATGACCTTTTTGAAGGTCGTCCCTATGATATGTTTGATGCTGCTTTGTCTGATACGGTCTCAAAGTACCCTGTAGATATACAGGTTGGTAGCATTTACGTGGCTAAAAAGTTGGATATTTTGCAGTTTTGCTATAAATTCTTGTTCTGGAGCTAAATCAATTGATCATGAATTCCTTTGTACAGCCCTTCAAGGACATGATAGAGGGAATGAGGTTAGATTTAAGGAAATCGAGATATAAGAACTTTGATGAGCTCTACCTTTATTGCTATTATGTTGCTGGGACAGTGGGACTAATGAGTGTTCCAGTAATGGGAATTGCACCTGAATCAAAGGCATCGACAGAGAGCGTCTATAACGCTGCATTAGCCCTTGGAATTGCTAATCAGCTTACTAATATACTCCGAGATGTTGGCGAAGAGTAAGTCCAATAGTACCAAATTTTTTTACTTTCTGATGAACTCCCAACTGCTTTTGACTGAGTCACACCTCTCTGGTCTGAATTTCCCTAGTGCTAGGAGGGGAAGAATATATCTACCAGAAGATGAACTGGCACGTGCTGGCCTTTCAGACGATGACATATTTTTTGGCCAGGTAACAGACAAGTGGAGAAATTTCATGAAAGATCAAATAAAACGAGCAAGGATGTTCTTTGATGAGGCTGAAAAAGGTGTTACGGAGCTAAATGCAGCTAGCAGATGGCCAGTGTGGGCATCACTGATGCTATATCGACAGATTTTAGATGCCATTGAAGCAAATGACTATAACAACTTCACCAAAAGGGCTTATGTTGGAAAAGCAAAGAAATTTGCATCACTTCCAGTGGCATATGGAAGAGCACTTATGGGCACTTCTAAATTGTTCGACTTGTCACGTACTTGAATTCTTTTTTCTTCATCTCTCTCTTGCCTTTTTTTCAATGGCCGTTTCTTTTGACTTGTCACATTGCCTGGATGCAACAAGTTACTGGTCTGTAAATTGTCTTACTACTGATTACGTGGGCAAAAAGCAAGATGGTATAGGGATCAGTTAAAATGTGTAATATGTTTCCAAGTTTAGTGAAGTTGAAAAGGAAAAGTTTCTCCACTATGTAGATGTCAGTAGACAGTTGAGCAAATTTATTGGCTACCATATTCTACTTAACAATTATATATAAACAGTGGTGGATTCCAGGTGTGAGGATTTCCAGGTAAAGATCAAGCCAAAGTCGTAATCATATATGATTTTCTTTGGCATTTGAGTATTTGTCTCCTAATATATGCGCATATCTTTCTGCTCACAAAACTAAGTTTGCATACCCTGTTCTCTTCATAAAATAAATAAATAAATAAAACTAATTTATTTTGAGATTATATGTATAAGTAATAAATAAAATCTAATGAAGCATTATTAAATATGCATGACATAATTATTACAATGAAAAAGAAAGTCAATAATAAACTAAACGAATCAACATAAAATTAAACAAAAATCATATATGTTTAGACGTGAACAAGTAACTTTGGGGCTTGTTACGCATAGGAAGTAAAGCAAACCTGTCCATGGAACGGTCGCCTACCCTTGACTGCAAGCCTCCTCCGTTTCAGATTGACTTTGGGATTTGCTTTCAAGCTTGGGCCTGCCCAACTCAAAATATTAATATATTATTTAAAAGTGCATCTTTAATTTATATTTATTTAAAAATATTTTAGATTATATTATATTTTCAAAAATAATAAAAAAACTTTTTATTATTTAAGATTACAAATTTTGGCTTAGGCGTGCTCTTCAGGGCTTGACCATGCCCTAGGCCTAGCTAGACATGGTCCATGGGCACCACCACGTAAAAAGGGCTTGCTTAATATGTAGGGTTTAAGTCTAATTTATTTTTGGATTGAATTATCTATTAAGCCCATGGAAGTCCATTTATATTAAATTTGTAATTAAAATAACAAAGAATATTTTTATCATTTAAGGGCTTGCTTCTTGATGGGCTGATCCGAGAAAAGTCTCAAACCAAATCCATATCAATATGCTCCCAACATATTATCTCCAGCGAAAAAGATGTCCAGTGGAAGCCTCTCCAAACTAATTTTCTTAATTTTAATGTTAACGGTTCTCTTAGAGGATAGTCCGATCCTTCGGGTGCGATGTGGTGGTGTATTCAGAAATTTTAACGATAATATCATTAGTATATATGTTATCTGATTCTATTGGTGAGTTTGATTCTAATGGTGCTGAAGTTTATGCTGTTAAAGTGGCTTTAAAACGATTTCACAATTAATATTCTTGGCTTGGAAAGAAATCTCTAATCATTGAATCAGATACAACAATTGTTGTTTTTCGGATGCTTAATACTGGAAAAAGATCTTGGAAGTTATGAATATTATTCCAACAAATTGATATGTTCCGTGATGCCATTGATTTTGTTTATTTGAAACATTTTAGGAGAAGCTAATTATTATATATGCAAGTATTCTTGCAAGAATGAGTGTGGATTGAAAGGAAATGTTTGTGGCTTGACCCTGATTTGATAGTATTTCTGGATACCCTGGGTTTTTTTATTAAGATTTAGATGTGGAAGACTTAAGTGGTGGTGTGTTTTAGACACATGTTGGGTGTTTCGGCTGCTGGTGTAGTTAGGTCATTAGTGCAAGTGATGCTTTAGATTTAGATTTAGTTTGTTTGCAAAATTAGTTGTAATCTTTTGTAGCATGACAAGTTTGGAGTTTTTACAAGGGGACAATTTTTTTTTTTACTCCTCAAAAATAAACTATTTTAAAAAATAATAATCGTTTTAATTTTAACTGGTTAAGAAAAAAAATTTTTGGACAGAATAATTTTAATGAAATCTTCTTACATTCAAATTACATGGTACAAAATTTGAGTCGATTCAGAAATGGCAATTGGAACAGCTCCATCAAGAAGAAGTGCAGCCACAATTGCAAGCACGAGGCAGAGAAGAATGACAAGTAGTGCGGCATCCAAAAGGGTTGTCGAAACTATGCTTCAGTGATGGACCAAGGCTAAAGATCTCTCCAAATGTCATGCTTGTCATGAGCATTGGTTTCATTTCTTTTGTTGCCATTCTCCAAATCATAGAAAAGTTGCACTTTGTTCATAGGGAGGTTTGAAAAGTGTATTAGCATTAACAAAATTAAGTTTTATTCTATTGATTTTCAATTTTGCTGTGATGGATTTAATTTCTCTCTCATTTTTTATAAAATTAGATTATTTTAATTTTCTTTTACTAAAACAACAACTAAAATAACTAAAAATCTAATTATCCAAATTAGAGGATTTAATATTATATCTTTTTGTCCAAATCCATTTCATCCATTAAATAATTTTTCAATACATATTCATTTTCATGTTAAATTCCTTTTTGATTTTAAACTTTTATCTTTATCCTTAAAGTGTTTAACTTCAAGAGTTTATATATTAATGAAATATAAAGATATAAAACAAGTTGTACGCTATATTTAAAAAATGTTGTTATTACATACTATGTTTAAAAAAATATTCTTACAATTAAAAAAATGTTGTTATACGTTTTAATTTTAAGAGTTTATATTGCAGTGAAATATAAAGGAGCAACTTACACGCCATATTTAATAACAAAAAAGAAAAAGAAAACAACACTACAAGCCTAAGTGGATGTTATATGTTTCAACATAAGATGTTACAGACCAAAACTTTAGTAGCAAATGTTACATGTCAAAGTCAAAGATTTAGCACAAATGTCACATGCCAAGACCAAAACTTCATCACCATATGTTACACGTCAAAATCAAAGTAAAAGATGTTGACACGAAAACTTCAGCAGCAAATGTTACATGCTAAGGTTAAAACTGTAACACCAATGTTACACATCAAAGCTAAAGCTTTAGCACTAAATGTTACACACATCAAAGCTAACGCAGAAGATGTTACACGGTAAGTTCAAAATTTCAATATCAGATGTTAAATACCAAGACCAAAGCTTTAACACCAAACGTTACACGCCAAAGCTTCTTTCTTCCGACTAATGTTACACGCCAAGGCATTAGTCACTTTGTTACATGCTACAACATGTTCTAGTAGACTTGAATTATTAAAACTTTCAGATTCCTCTTATTCTCCGTTCAATACCAAGAAACCCAAGAACCTGTTGTTACTCACCATGCTATGCTTTTCGGTTTGTAGATCAACGATAGAAGGTTTTGTGAATGTAAACTAATAAATCCAAAAATATGTTATTACTTCTCATGTTATACTTTTTTTGTTTGTAAATCAAAGATGATTTGGCAAGATGATTAGAGATAGAGAGATGGTGACGACGGTAATATTAAAAAGAGCTAAATGATGAGAAAGAAAAATAGAGAACACAATAGAATAAGGAGTAGAATAGACGAATGGTGGGATAGAAAAATTGGAAGCATTTAATTTGTTTGAAATAGTTTTAAAGGCATTTTTGTCATTTGATGACTAATTTTGATTAAAAATAGTTAAATTTATTTTGATGGTTATTTTTGAAATCGTCTTATCTGTCGTAACTTGTGGGTCTGAGAAGTCGACTACTCGACGTGGGAATTACTAAGGTTGGAGTCGTCACTAATCTTTTTTGTATAGGTGCGATTGGCCACCTATTAATTCGATTCTAATCGATGAAGTCCTAAATTAATTTCAAGTCCGTTGAAAGAACGAGAATTAGTCTATATTTTTTTAGAGATGGATTCGGGAGTGCGGTTACGCACGGGGAAGGATTAGCACCCTTATGGCACCCGTTCCACGAACGATACCATTTAATATCATGTTATCTTATTAGAGCTTAAATTATTGATATTTTCTTAATCTTGGTTTATTAGTTTATTTTTTATAATATTAATAGATTAAATCTTTTTGTTTGATTTACGGATACACATGATGTAATCATAAAATGATTGCATAATTTATTCAATTTTAAAAGTCATAAAACAACAACCTTTTATTAGAAAATTGTTCGTAAACCATCCCAATGCTTTGGTGAGATCTTGACGTGTTTTTCTCATTTAGGGATATCTTCGGAAGAACTCGTCTTTACAAGCTTTTCAAGAGAATCCCATCCTCGGAGTTCCCTTTTCATTCACAAGATATACATTATAAGTAAAGTTTACATGAACGCGCTTAAACAAGGATTAGTTAATTTTTAATTTATGGAACAATATATTTAGAGTAATTTATTGCCTTATTTATATATGATTATTATTTTATTTATTGTTTTTAATTATTTATTATTTTATTATTTTATTATATATATTTTTGATTGTGGATTGTGGGTACACTGACTGTTAGAAAACTTAGGGTTTTTTTTTTGTTGCTCTCCCCTCCCTGGTTGCTGCTACAGTGAGGGTTTTATACCCATTCTTCCGACTTGGGGTGCGTCATGAAGCCCCTGCCAGACGCGATTTTTCTGCATCTGGCAAGGTGCTCTTGCACCTCCCGCACCCTGCCATGCGTCCAGTTGTTATTTTCTTTTTCTCTTTTTATTTCAATTTACTACTATTATTTTGTCCTCAATCTCCAAAACACTATTATGCTTAATTAACCCATAAACAAGTAGATAATATCAGTAATGAAAAAGGTATAGTGTCTACATTATCAAAAGGGTTATACTTCGTAAGTTCTTCTTTTATAAGTATATCTTTTAATTTTTTCGTTTTTTTTTCCTTTTGGCCTAAAACCTTCTTGATGAAGCTTTTAGAGTTGGTTTAAGATGGATAGAAAATAATGATGCGTTAGAAACCATGGAATGGTGGACATAAATAAATATGTCAAAAGATTGATGATGTAACTTGTTCTGTCATTTTGCAAACAATATCTTTACCTACTTTGGAGTTTCCACGCACATAGTGTAAAACTTTAGGAATTCGTTTCTTCCATAGAATTGAGGCTCATCCTTTCAAAGATATAAGGCGGACAACATCTTTGGCAATAATGAGGCAGAGAAACAAACCTTCACAATTTTGACTACCTAATGCATGATTGGCTCGTGTTAAATTATTAGACCGTGTTTTTTTTTAAAAAATTTTTTTAGATCTTTTCCATGATAAAGGGGCATAGAGAGAACTTGACCCTTTTGGATCCTCTCAAAAGACTTGTTTTCGCTATAAGTTTTTTTTTTTCCCCAATTCGCTTTTCTTTCGTCGATGGATTCTTTTCTTTTCTCCCTTATATGCTTTAATCATGTTCAATTA